TCCTGTCAATAGTGATAGACAGATATAGTTTTACTACATATGTTCTGACTGACTGATATTAATATTTGATATAGGCGTCATGTGTTACGGTTCATGATGAATGCACCACTGGGATATCATATACATCTGTGCTCATCTACTAATCTAGTATTTGGAGATGAAGAGACGGTGATGGCATATTTAACACGAGTAAGCAATTTTATATTATTTTCAAAAGCCTTTTGTATATATTGTACATATTGGATATGTGGCAAAACAGTTTAACTGATTGCTTGAACACACTTACATAATGGCAATATCATCTATAAATGGAATTGAAAATGATTTAATTTCTCAGGTTGTACTGATTATGCTAAATTGAAAACAAACAAACCTACCAAAAGTACTGTACAATAAAAGTCTTTCATGTTCTGTCATAGTGCCTCATTTCGAATGAAACGGGTGAAAGTTCCCTATTGAAAGCAAGTGAATATTTTGTTCATTGTCACTCTTCTTATTTATGTGTATCTGTTAATCTTGTTACAGGAGAGTTGTCGGTTTGTAGATCACGCCAATCAAGTAATGATGTCCATCAAAAATGCCATCCAATACTTTGATGACAAAGACAATTTTAGTGAAGCCATGTCCAAACTTGCAATATTACATTACCCAGTCAAGGAGGGTGTCAAGTCAGCCATGCACAACTTTGAGGTGAGTGGCATGCCCAAGCAGAATCAACAAATTTCAAATTCTCTAGTTGCAAAAGCACTCAGCAAGCACCAATGTGAGGATGTGATATGGAAGTTGGTGGGGATGATTTTATGAGCCTACTAAATTTGCTTGGGGTTTCTCCCTGTAAAATCATAATTTCTCTGACCGACTACTATGGGACCTACTGACATCTACTGAAAACATGCACTGAGACATGTTTGAAGTTACTTTCACATCAGGAATAAACTTCTTTTCTTGTGTATCCCACATGTAGCTCACAAAGTGAATATGAAATAACATTCTTTATACATGCATTCTCAAAATTAATTGCAGTCACATGAATAGAATAGAATAGAATAGAATAGAATAGAATAGAATAGAATAGAATAGAATAGAATAGAATAGAATAGAATAGAATAGAATAGAATAGAAAGTATGGTTATATGTACCGATAACTAATATCATGCATTTGTCTGGGAATTTTAATCCATGTATAGGCAGTAGTTCTGTTATTAACAAGGCATTGTGTCGATCTCATTCCAATTCCTAGCAACTGTTCAGTGCACAAGAAAAACAGTATTTACTGAAGGTGATTCAATTAGTTGCACAGTATGAATAACTCACACTCAGTGTTATGCTTGTCAACATGTTCTTAAAGCTACCTTTAATAGTTAGTTCTTTGCACTATAATCAGATTACCTGGCCATGACTGATTTATTCAGGTTACATGGCCAAACTTATTTATAATGTCAGCTTTTTTGTCAATGTTTATTTCTGGTACAAAATAGATAGACTGTATTTTTATTGATTAATAATCAATGATGTTATTTTTCAACAATACTTTAATTAAGTATTTCTAGTATGCCTAGTTCTTAGGTTTTCTTTTTCTTTATTAATTTAACTTTTTTCTGTGAATTTAAATTTTTTTTCTATGAATATAAGATTTTTTTTCTAGTGATTTCTGGCAATACTGTATTCATTTCAACAGAATTGTCATTATAGCAATAGTTTATGAATCATATTAAAAAAAACAAAGAATATTGTATAAATCTGTGGGATTAATCAAAATGTTACTGAACATTTTTTCTCACATTTTTCACACTGATTTTAAACAAAATTAAATTTGCCTGAAATCATTGTAGAAAATGTGAAAAAAATATGTTCATTATTTATTTTTTTCCCTTGACTGAAGTAGTTGATGCATTACTTTTAATTGTTAATTTCAGGTTTTTAATGAAGCCTTATATTCCACTTTACGAAACGCGCTAGGAGAGAATTTCACAGCAGATATGGTATTTGCTTGGAAAGCATTTAACTATGACGTCATCACCAGAAATGTACTCGGTGGAGTCTCTAGTCCAGGAAGCCGTCCAGGTATATGTGTAAACATTGATCAAGATAATAACTACCTTTAACATAATGTTGTATATAATATTGACCAATATATTTATAACTGTCTGTCTGTTCTTAATGTATCATGTGTTGGTGTCTCTATGTTGGTGTTGGATCTTTTCTCTATCATTCACTCTCTTGAATTTAAACTTTATTGGCAATAAGTTACTTATAAAATGCTTGTTAGTTGAGTTTTACTCCGTTAAAACATATTCTAGTATGTAAAGAAATTGTCACATTCAAATTATTCAAAGCCTCATGTGAAACTTGACTTATGGTGATTTTAGTGATGAAAATACAATTTACAATTTTGTGAAACCTGTATTTTCTAATCCTTCTCTATTAAAGCCAAATATTGGTGCTACATGTTGCACATTTCTATTTATTTGACTATAAATTCATTGGAAATTTCCGAGCAAATGGGCATAATTTTCTACTGCCTTCTGGTCTTCATCAACATTTTTTAAAATAGTATGCAAATTCATTTCCAGAAAGTTGGCATTCAAAAGGTGTATGTCCATTTATTTACTGATTACTGTGTATCTGCTTATACAGTAAAGGGCTTTGAATAGTTTGTCTGAGATTTATAACTTTATTAGATTTCTTTGCTGTAAATTTTTTTTTCAATAATTTAAAGTACTTGTTAATGGAATGCCATAATATAATTTTAGAGTTTGGCGGTGTTAAGGTAACAATGATCCGTTGTGAACAACGTGAATGTGAAATCAACTTGTAGAATGCAGAATAAAGATAGATTGTAGTTATAGATACCGTAATCTAACTAATTATGTGACAAACTATATAATTGTCTTTAGATTGTTTCACAGTCTTGGGATATATCTTGTACATGTTTCATACAACTGTACAATAATTGCACTTATAATTAATGTAGCTTAGTCTTCACTGTAATCTGTGTATTTGTGATACTACTGCCTCTCAAACCTTTGACTTTTGTTGTACTTGAGTCTAATATTCATTATCTTATAAACGTTTAAACTATTACAACATTTTTTTATTTGGTCTGTTTCTGACATTTTTTGTCATCGTTAAATTTAAAGTCACTATCAAGTGGTCCTTACTATGCAGTGTCTACAAAACTGTCATAAGAGTCATAAGATATTTATCCACCAAGTTAGGTGGCCTAATTACTTGCACATCCATCACATTTCCCCCCAAAAATCAGGGGAAGTGGGCTATATTTGCCTATCTAATAAGTTACAGGGCCATATATAACACTTCCACCAAGTTAGAGGGCCTAAAACTCATCCACAAGTTATGAGGGCTTAATATAGTTAAACATCTGCCAAGTTATGGATCCTAAATAAAGTAAATAATATTTATTATTTTTAATGATTGCCAAGAAAGAGAGGTGGTGAAACTAACATTCATACATATTGACCACAATGTTTACTTATCTCATGATGTCATTTAACCTGTTGTGTTTTCTTTCCTCATCATTTCATTCTGTGTACTATATGATTGCACAGAGGATACGCACAGTGAATCTGGAGGTATATATCTATGTATAAAATTTACGCTAGATCCCCCCTCCCCTGTAAACATGCCAGTATGTGCACTTAATCCAATTAACAGTGCACATTGAAGCTGTCATAATCATGTCTATGTTGTGTTGATTATTTTTATATGTTTGTGTTTATTCCCAAGTCAACTGTAATTTATTTAATATTGTAAGTGTTGATAAACATAGGGTAGTAATGCAACAATGATGCAAGATGGTAGTAAATATAGAAAGCTCCTCTATGTAGTCCTTCTTGGTCATAAGGCATTTAAGATATTCGCCGCATCATAGACTTGTTGGAAACCCCTTTGATTATCAACCCATGTTACCTATACAGTATAGTGTTGTTTATGTTTTCTCAATTTATACAAAATTCATATCACAGACTGCTAACTGAAACATGTTCTCTGTTTTTTGGTTCATAAAATAACCTATTTGGCTGGTAATCTAGGCTTCTGTTGCGTGAATTCAGGTTAAACTACGTATGTAGTGGGGAATATACATTTTATTTGCTCAGTTCAAATTCTTAGTAAGATTACATGAGGGTGATCCAAACTTACGGTCACTTCTGTGTACTTTATTATCAGTAATTAAGGGAATGTTTTTTGAGAAAAAATGACAACACCATACTGTTTCCATAGTTACCTAGTTACCTACTGACATCAGCTATATCAATGTATCTTTATGCTAAGCTACAATGTCGAGTTGTGTTGTATATGTTACATTTTCTGTCCAGTACATAGTGTGTTTTGGACACCTAACATTTGTAACTCACAGTGTCCAGTAGTATGTTTTGGATACTTAACATTTGCAACTGACAAGGTCCAGTAGTATGTTTTGGACACCTAACATTTCTAACTCACATGTCCAGTAGTATGTTTTGAACACCTAACATTTCTAACTCACAGTGT